CTTGGAGAAGGCATTTATCTCTTTAAATCCCTTCTCCGAACTAGTAGACCGGGGGGGGGGGCACTTGGAGGACGCATTCAAAGTTGCTTTCTTGCCACCTCTTTTATTCTTTCCACCTTTCTCTTTCTCTCTTCCTCCCTCCACATCTATTTGCTTTCTTTCCACATTTTTTCTTTTTCTCTTCCTCCCTCCCTCCTCCCCTCCCTCCCCCATATATTTGCTTTCTTTCCACACTTCTTTCTCCTTTCCTTCCTCTCTCCCTCCCTTCTCCCCCTCCCCCATCTATTTGCTCTCTCTCTCTCTTTCTTTCCACCATTTTCATTCTGTCTTTCCACCTCTTTCTCTCTCAAATAAATATCATTAGCAAACAAATAAATATCGTTGGAAAAATAAATATCATTATCGACATCTGTTTGTTACCCCTTTTGTTTTTATTTCTGGCAATCTCATTTAATGCTAATTTTTTTTTTAAAAAAAAAGCAAATTTGCATAGTTTTCAATAAAAACGTGCGTGTGATATTTGTGCATGTCCTGCGGCTCTCAAACGTCTGCCATTTATTCTATGTGGCTCTTCCGCTAAGCAAGTTTGGCCACCCCAGGCTCTGAAGCAACAGCTCTGACTTGGGGACACTTTCCACACACACACACACACACACACCATTGCTTACAGCACTGGACTATGTCACAGGAGACTCCCTCCAAAACTCACTAGGTGCCCCTAGAACAATGATGGCGAACCTTTGAGAGACCGAGTGCCCAAACTGCGACCCAAAACCCACTTACTTATCGCAAAGTGCCAACACGGCAATTTAACTTGAATACTGAGGTTTTACTTTAGAAAAAACAACTCCTACATTAACTTAAGATGATCCAAACACAGTAAGGAGAGCAATCCCAAATGCTTTCATTGACTTAAAATTATTCGGCAGAGACTTCGACGCTTTAATGATGGTCAGGGCCTGGCTGGGGTGATGGCACGCGTGCCCACAGAGAGGGCTCTGAGTGCTGCCTCTGGCACCCGTGCCATAGGTTCGCCACCACTGCCCTAGACCAATCATGCTGTCTGCCTAATGGATCTCCCAGGGCTGCTGTAGTGAAAAAATGGAGGAGGGAAGCCACGCACACTGCCCCGAGCTCCTCAGAGGAAGCACAGTATAGGAATGCCCTCAATCAGTTTGTACCCTGACCTGGATGGGTGGCCCCCAGGATAACCTGATCCTGCCGTATTTGGAAGCTAGGCAGAGTCCAGGGTTGCTGCGCAGAGGCAGGCAGTGGCAAACCACCTCTGTTAAGTCTCTTGCCGCGAAAACCCTACTGCCATAAGTCAGTTGCCACTTGACGGCACTCGCCCACCCCCAGCTCGTAACCCATCAATTCAGACTAGCCCATCGGACACGCCTGTCAGCTCTCCGAAAACTCTGTACAGCCTATCAGCTCTCCGAAAACTCTGTCCAGCCTCCTCTTTCTCCTTCAGTGCAGGAGCATATCCTGAAAAGGGCTGCTCCCACCACCCCAGAAGTCAAGAACTAGTACGGCTGGCTCTCAGCCCCCGTCCTACCCATCTAGTTCAACTGTAAAGGATGCCAGCCCTTTGGGCAATTTCTGTGTTCTGTTCAGCACCGAGCACGGAGGGTTGGGTCCAACCGGCTTTTGTACTCGTGAGAAAGGAAGGAAGCCCCTTCTGTCCACCCAAAAAGGATATGCTGGGAATCATGCAACCTACATGGACAAAAAGCCATACGGGACAAGAACTGTAATAAAGAGGGGAACTGGCCAAGACTGAGTGAAAAAGCTGGCTGGATTCAACACAGCGTTGGCACTATGAAGATGTTACACAGCAGTAATGCAATATCCAGGAACTGGAATGGTTTCAAGAGAGTGTCTCAGCGTGTTTCATGCTTGGAACTCATGCTGTACAGCACAGAGGGCGAATCCTGTCTCAGCAATTTCACTGGAAAGCAAAGGTCTGAATCAAGCCGCACCGCCCCCCGCCCCCCCATCATCTTAACCTTTTCCAAGACTTAATACTGGGTCATAATTGCCTGTGGTATTACCCAAAATGTGGCAAGCTTAAGAATAAACCTGACCTTATCTACAGAGTGCATCCTCTTGCTCACAGATCCATACCTTCCTTCTCCACCCCAGGCTCCGTTGGGGGTCACAAAAACTTCTCGACAACCGTCCGTCTCCATGTTATAGACCATCAGCTTTAAGGGCTTCCCCTCGTGGGATTCGATCAGTGCGAAGAAGTCTTCCGACTAGGAGAGACATTTGTATGAGTGACGCGGCAGCCCAAGCCCATGTGTTCCTGTTACACCACAGCCACTGTGACTCGTCAGAACTATGCTTACGCTTGTGGCCCGCCCCAGTTAAGGGACCCAACAGCACGCCAGTCGTTGGGGGGGGGGGATTAGAGATGTGAAGGCCCGGAAAAAAACCGGAAAAATTCGGGAAAAAAACAGTTTTTTTCCGTTTTTTTCCTGAAACCTTTTTTGTTATTTTCCAAAAAATTGGAAAAATTGAAAAAATAAAATAAAATAAAATAAATTGACTATGGAACGTTTTATTTTAACATGATGAATAAAATATTTTAAGACAAGGTGTTCAAATATTTTCCAAATCATTTCTAAAATATATATATATGACATCAGATTGATCTAATTTCTGTGCACTGAGGACAAGCAAGTGCTAGGTTACAAACTGAACTCTCCAATGCAAGAACAAGATGCATTTCTTCCTTTAGGAGGTGCTATTGTCAGAAGAAAATAAAAAGGTTTCAGGTTTGTTTTTGCATGTGGATGGGTATTCTGTTTGTAATAATTGTTTGGATACACTATATTTTTAATATGCTAGTTGTGATAATTTCATGCCAAGTAAAAATGTCCATACTCATATTTTATGTTCCTAAAGTAACAGAATGACTTTCAATCTAGAAAAGACAAAAGAAATGCTAATGTAGCATTTTTTTCAATTTTTCCAAAAATTTCCGTTCCCCCCCAAAAAAAACCGGAAAAAAACCCGGTTTTTTTTCCCGAGCTTCAAAATTTCCGGAAATTTTACATCTCTAGGGGGGATTGTGTGGACCTGCCATGTCTTGTGGTGCTGTGAGGAACATCTGACTTTTCAGCTGAAGGCAGCAAGAGGCAGAGATAAAGAACTCCCCGGGAATGAAAATAAGGAGGAACAGCTAGACTGCCGTAGCAGGCTGTTGGCTTTCAAACGCCGCCCCCCTCCATCATGTTTGTGTGAAGATGTTTAGGTGAAACCCTACAGAACCGTCAGGTTTTTTAATGTGTGACACGATCGCGGTTTATAAGATTATGCATGGGATAGAGCAGGTCGAGAAACAGGTACTTTTCTCCCTTTCTCACAATACAAGAACTCGTGGGCACTCCATGAAACTGCTGAGCAGTCGGGTTAGAACGGATCAAAGGAAGGACTTCTTCACCCAAGGAGTGATTAACACATGGAATTCACTGCCACAGGAGGTGACGGTGGCTACAAACATGGACGGCTTCAAGAGGGAATTGGATAAACGTATGGAGCAGAGGTCCATCAGTGGCTACTAGCCACAAGGTATAGGTAGGAACTCTCACCCTGGGGCAAGTGATGCTCTGTATTCCTGGTGCTTGGGCAACAGTGGGAGGGCTTCTGGTGTCCTGGTCCCACTGCTGGACCTCCTGATGGCACCGGGTATTTTTGGCCACTGTGTTGGACTAGATGGGCCACTGGCCTGATCCAACATTGGCCTCTCTTAAACTGGAGATAGTCACAAAGACATTCACAAGCCTTGGGGGCAAGGGGAAAAGAGATTCTTAAAACAGAGCAATACTTTTGTACCAAAGTTGGTAATCATCAAGGTGAGGATATTAGCAGGAGGAAGAAAGCAGGTTAAACTAAACCTGCAGGACTTTTGCTGTGCCGTTAGGGTTGTCGGCTCTGGGTCGGGAAATACCCGGAGTTTTGGGGGTGGAGCCTGGGGAGGGACCTTGGCGGGGTAGAACGCCACAGAGCCCACCCTCCAGAGCAGCCATTTTTTCCCCCTAGGGGAAGCGATCTCGGTTGTCTGGAGATCAACTGTAGTAGCGAGGGAACTCCAGGTGCCACCTGGAGGCTGGCAACCCTATATGCACTGACCCCAGCCAGGCTTGGCCCCTCACTGTCGGTGTCCCTGCTGATCCCCAGAGTCCATCCTTACCTCCTGGAGTATTTGGTCCGATCCGACGATGTAGTCCGTGTGAGGCTGCAGGCCAGCTAAGGCTGCCGGGGAAGCCGCTTCCACGTCCTAGAGAGACATTCGTCATGTTACCTACAGATATGCAGCAATTCAAAACAGTAAAAAACTGGGTTTCCCCAGAAGCTTCTCGGAGATCCCTCGATACTGTTATGAGGGGCAGACAAGCATCCCTGAGAGAGAAGAAGAGGAGGAGGAGACTGGATTTATACCCTGCCCTTCACTACCCGAAAGAGTCTCAGAGCGGTTTACAATCTCCTCCCCTTCCTCTCCCCACAACAGACACCTTGTGAGGTAGGTGGGGCTGAGAGCTCTGACAGAAACTGCCAGAACTATGGCTTGCCCAAGGTCATCCAGCCAGGTGCAAGTGGAGGAGTGGGGAATCAAACCCGGTTCTCCCAGATTAGAGTCCGTGCACTTAACCGCTACACCAAACTGGCTCCCTGAGAAGAAGCACACTGGATTTATACCCCACCCTTCACTACCCGCAGGAGTCTCAGAGCGGTTTACAATCTCCTCCCCTTCCTCTCCCCACAACAGACACCCTGTGAGGTAGGTGGGGCTGAGAGAGCTCTGACAGAAACTTCCAGAACTACGGCTTGCCCAAGGTCATCCAGCCAGGTGCAAGTGGAGGAGTGGGGAATCACACCTGGTTCTCCCAGATTAGAGTCCGTGCGCTTAACCACTACACCAAACTGGCTCCCTGAGAGAGGAGGAGGAGACTGGATTTATACCCCGCCTTTCACTACCCGAAGGAGAGCAGCTTACAATCTCTTCCCCTTCCTCTCCCCACAACAGACACCCTGTGGTAGGTGGGGCTGAGAGAGCTCTTTTGAGGACTGCCCTGGAGAGAACAGCTCTGAAAGAACTTGTGACTGACCCAAGGTCACACCAGCAGCTGCATGTGGAGGAGTTAGGAATCAAACCCAGCTCTCCCAGATTAGAGTCTGCGCTCCTAAGCACCACACCAGAGAAAGAGAGAGAGAAAGCTTGTCTATTGAAATGCCGCTAGACAGAAGCTTGGGTGGCTGCTTTGTTTGGGTCACGCTAGTGTCCTCGTGCAATCGGTACTGCGCATACTACAATGGCTGGCAATGCGCTTAGGTTCCATGGAGGATACGGAAATATGGGAGGTGTTATGAAGGCGGCTGCCTTGATTCGAGGCAGCACTGCCAGTCCAAAGGGAAAAAAATGAAGATCACCATCTCAGAGTCCTCATGCAAGGAGGTCAGACCTAAAAAGGTACCACAGTGCCAAGCAGCTGCGGCGCACAGTGGTTTCTCTTGCTCACCAGCACGTGCCACACGTGTTCGTTGGCTCCTTGGAAGCTGCAGAACCTCACGCTGGCTCCCAGGAGGCCCTGCCCACCCCACATATTGCTGGGGGTCACCTCCACCTCCCGCACTTTCAGGGTCTTGATGTTGTAGACCTCCAACTTCACAGCCTTCTCGACGTTGGCTTTCAGGAGATCTTTTAGAGTGTCGCCTTCTTTATTCTAAAGGGGAGAAGAGGAGACAAGTGGCTCTTTTCCCTCTGGGAAACAGCAGCCGGAAGACCGCTAGAGCTGCAGTGCAGAACATCGTGAGCCCCTTGCCACGGGCTTTGCAAAACAACGGAAAAGCTAGAAATCAATGGAAACCAGTGAATCTGCCACAACAGATCTCTTCCCACTTTATCCCTTTCCATTAACATGTGGGATTCACTAACACAACAGGCGGATGCAGCCAGCAGCTTAGCTTGTTTCTTAAAAGGAACAGAAGAATTCATGAAGGCGAGATCTGCCTAGAGCAATTAACTGTGGACAGAACTGCCATATACAGAGGGCAGTGTCCCTTTGAATACCTGATAGTCACCACAAACAGCAGGGAGTTGTTCCCGCCTTGTTTTACTTTAAAAATCTCCCCAGAAAGACCTGATTAACTACTGTTGGAACCAGGATGTCGGACTAGATTAAGCCACGGCCTGATTCAAAAGGGCTCCTTGGTTCTTGAGCCCATAAACTATTCACAGCTGTTTAGACACTGAAATTATGTCACTAACTCCGTCAGTGCAGTTCCACCCATCCACTCCCTTGGTCTGGAATGTTGTCCTTCAGACCTCTGACTGTCCAGCTTTGTTTTTCAGTGGGTGCTTTCCAGAAGCACCGTTATTAAAAACAAAACACAGTCTAACCACATATCAATAGTCAGGGGTCATTTCGTAGAAAGAGGTGCAGGAGCTTATTAGCATAACTCATTGGCATAACTCATTTGCATATGCTACACCCCCTGACGTTACCGGAAGTGTGTCAGAAGGCAACACCCACCGCTCAGGCTCCACTGGACTGTTTTGGATTGCTAGTTATGGGGGGGGGGGGGCGCTGGCTGCTTCTTGCTCTGACTGAGGGCTGCTGGGAGCATGGGGTGGGGCTTGTTTGATGTGCCCGCCCCCTGGGTTCTTTAGTGCCGGAGCTCCGCTCCTGTGCGCTCCTGCAGGAAATGACCCCTGTCAATAGTCTTGGAACTGCAAATGGGAAGGCTTTTAGAAGAAGATGAGATTGGATTTATTCCCCGCCCTTCACTACTTGAGACTCCTTCAGGTAGTGAAGGGCGGGGAACAAATCCAATCTCATCTTCTTCTTCTAAAAGCCTTCCCATTTGCAGTTCCAAGACTATTGATACGTGGTTAGACTATGTGTGTGTGTGTTTTAACAATCTCCTTTCCCTTCCCCTTCCCGCAACAGGCACCCTGTGAGGTAGGTGGGGCTGAGAGGACTGCCATGGAGAGAACAGCTCTGAGAACTTGCAACTGACCCAAGGTCACACCTGCAGCTGCGTGTGGAGGAGTGGGGAATCAAACCCGGTTCTCCCAGATCAGAGTCCACACACTTAACCACTACACCAAACTGGCTTTCAGCAACTGGTATTAAACAGAATGCCTTGCCTCTCCACTAAGTTCTGCCATGATATCTTCACTCCTTTGCGCAAAAGCCTCCTGAAGATGCTGCCCTACAAAGGTGTAAAGACAGCAGTCTGTCAGCAAGCTGCCATTCTGTTTTCTGTGACCTCTGTGTACATATCCTTACCCTGTTGCACCCGGCTTGTTTATACTATCCTGCTTCTGTGCTGGAATGCATAAGATAACTACTGGTGGATGTGTGGGGGAGAAGATGCTGTAATGCTTGCCTATTGCTATCTCATGAGAACTGCACCTGTGTTTTGTCTGATGTTCTGCCTGGTTCCCAGGGACTGGGCGCGCAACCGTTTCATTAGCCCGCCAGCGGGAATATTATTCATTGGATATGTATCTGTTTGAATTTCCTTTATTATGCTCGCCCTAACTGTGTATCCCCAGTTCTAACAAAGAACGTGTTTGAGTATGTCTTCAACGCTTTGAAATAAATTTTGCTTTTCTTGAAAACGTGGATTTATTCTCGATGCTTGGGGATCCAACATATTGTCTTAACCAGAAATGTTCAGCGGGGCATTCTTATGCAGGAAATAGGGCTGCAGTATAATGGAATGGTTCAGGAAGGTGCTTTTATGAGTCCACTGCATATATTATCTTCTGCTTTGCCTTGTATTATGTATTTATTTATAGTCCACCTCTCTCATTGGGTCTCAAGGTGGATTATACAGAGTGAGTCAATACAATGAACATGGTGGGAGAGATAACCAGGGCCTCAGGATATCTGAAACACAAACTGCTGGCCCTAAAGTACGTGAGCCAGTCTCCGCCGCAGCTACCAAAATGTTAATTATTGACAGGGTCATGTTTGAACTAGTTTGTCGGGACAGGTGTCAGGGTGAACGCCCTTGCCTGCCTGCACACTTCCTCCAGAATATGCCACAGGCACCTGGTGGTGCTGGAAAGGGCCACCAGGTCACAGCCGGAAAACAGGCTGACACTCAGCGCTTAGGATGAAATGAAATACAATTTCTCTACTGTATTGAACATGATCTTCACATGATATCCCATGCCATGATTTCAAAGACTAGAATGTATCCTCATCCATTTTACTGGAGAATCCTGTCCCGGGCATACAAACAAATCAGGATACATTCTAGTATTTGAAATCATGGCATGGAATATCATGTGAAGACACTATGAATAGTAGGTTTTCAAGAGAGACTACCACAGTGCTTCAGTGTGTTCGGATGAAGTTGTGAACAAAAAGAAAATCAACTCCGGGGAGTTTCCTTTTTTCTGTACTTTTGATGCGTTTATGGAAGAAAGAATATGTAACATGTGGAAGGGTTATTAGCTATTATAAAATAACATTGTTAAATACAGTAGAGAAATTGTATTTCATTTCACCCTAAGCACTGAGTGTCAGACCGTTTTCCGGTTTATTAGTTGTCTTGGGCTGTTAAAAGGTAAAGGTAAAGGTTCCCTTGCTCAAAAGCCAGTCGAATCCGACTCTAGGGTTGCGGTGCTCATCTCCGTTTCCAAGCCGAAGAGCCAGCGCTGTCCGAAGACATTTCCGTGGTCATGTGGCCGGCATGACTAAACACCAAGGCGCACGGAACGCTGTTACCATTTACATTATTTTATATCCGGTCACAGCCGGCTTATGGCAACTCTATAAGGTTTTCAAGGGGAGAGATGTTCGGAAGTGGTTTGCCTCTGCCTGCCTCGGCGTTGTGACCCTGGGCTTCTGTGGGGGGCTCCCATCCAAGCACTGACCGGGGCCGACCCTGCTTCACTTCCGAGATCGGACGAGGTCATCAGGCCAGCCTGGCCCATCCAGGTCAGGGCGCCACAGGTACCTGTTCTGGGGAGGTCAAGGTGTTTTGCAGCAAAAGTGGCCCCAGAGGATTTCCAGCGAGCCAGCCAGCGAGCTCTGCCATGTCTGTCCAGGGGAAGGAACACCCATGGAACTAGCTGATCTGATCTCTTTTCCAGCCCAGAATCAGAATTTATTATTATGGTCATTAGATAGGGTTGCCAAGTCCCCCCCGGGGGGGCGGGAACCCCACTCAATGGGTCCGTTCCCCGCCGGCCCGGATCGGGCCGCCGGGGGGAAACCCACCCCCCAAATGCCGGGATCACACCGGGCACGTTGCGGGGGGTGGGACGGAACGCTCTATCATTCGAGGGAAGACTCTATGGTTTCCCCTCGAATAATAGTGGTCCACCCACAACGTGCCCGACGCGATGACGTCACTTCCGGATGACGTCATCGCGGCTCCAGGACAGGGCCCGGAACTCCCCCGCTAAAACTGAGGTAAGACTTGGCAACCCTATCATCAGACCACCCATATACATATAGTTATAATTTTTTAAAAAAATTACATACAGAATATACATAATAAAAAGATTAAAATTTAGAACCTAAATTAAAATACAGGTTCCGTAACCTCAGTATCAGAACACAAAATCTAGCTACGTGATAAGTAGGACTCTCACCAGGCAAAAGGCAATCGAGCCTAGATTTATTTGTGCAACCAAGAATCTTATCCAGCAGGTAACGATCTTCAAACGAGCCTCCTTATAATACGGGCAACTAAGGAACATCTGCTCAGTGCACTCCACCTCCCTTAACGGACATGTCCGTAACCTTTCTAGATGGGGGGTTTTCTTATACCCGCCTTCAAGCACTGCAGAGGGGAGTGCAGAACTCCTTGCCAGGGTGAACGCCCTTCTAAAACTGTTTACTTCCAAAGACGCCAGATAAGCTGCCAGCTCGATTTTTCCAGCCCCAGTTACGATATTGCCTCTTATGCCCACGACAACAACAACAGAAAAGACAGGGACAAAGTGGCATGACTGCAGGATGCCGCTCTGCTCTCTCGAGTGATCAAAAAGCTACTTCAGAGTCCCGGGTCGTAAAACGGATTACCAAAATCCCTTGTAGGAGCCACGGGACAAAGGAAGCAAAGCCTGCCATCGGGACTTTTTGCACGTGTGGGGCTCCCACAGCCAGCCATAGACTGAGTTCGGGGGATCCTTTCAGTCTCAAAGCCATCAATGGGGAAGACGCTCTGGTTTTTTTCCCCATCTTTTTATTGTTTTGTAAAATACATTACATATGACACATATTGGTTCTAGATTTCTACATATAGCAACTAAGATCATTACTAACCATTGGACAACTATTCGCATACCATACAGCTCTAATACCTGCTAAGCTCTATAAATATAACCATTTAGGGTAAATCTGCTTAGCTGGGAGTATATCATTCGTTACCATATAATCTAACACTGGGGCCCAGATCCTAACAAATTTGGTGTAAGTAGGAGTATCACTGTTAATCGCTCTCTTCAGGGAGTCTGTAATTTTCGCCATTATAAACTGATCCCAGACTTTCTCTTGCCACATAGCGATTGTGGAAGGAGCAGTGGATTTCCAAGCCGCTGCAATTGCTAACCTAGCAGCCGCTAATAAAGTTGAGATGAGTTCTTTACTACTCCCTATCATTGATTCGTTCCACAGATTCAGCAATACCACTTCCGGAGTACAAAGTAATGCCTGTCTGGTGATTCCATTTATCTGAGTTATCACATTTTCCCAAAAGCTTTGGATTTCTTGACAACCCCACCAACAGTGGTAGTAGGTCCCTATCTGGCCACACTGCTTCCAGCATGCATTGCTTATTGATGGTTTGATTTTATGTAGCTGATGTGGGGAAAGGTACCAACGAGAAGTTAATTTGAAGAATTGAAGACGGATGTTATATAGAGAGGATCTGCTCGCCGGAGAAGCCCAGATGACTGTCCAATCCGACTCTTTTAAGGTGAGATCGAGATCCTCTTCCAATCTATTGGGAAGACGCTCTTGTGAGCTCAGGCCCTTCGAATCAGCATCAGGTTTTCCTAGTGGACCACTCTGAACAGAGGCCAGAGTTGGCCAAGGGAGTCTTGCCACTGTCCGGGTTATTCACAGCTCAATGGTACCTGCTAGATTTGATACCGCTGAGTTGCAAATTTGCGAAGAGGCCTTGGACTCCACTTAATACGAAATAGCATTTTGATTTGTGCATGGTCATTGTTCCTACTCACTATACCAGGGGTGTCAAACATGTGGCCTGGGGGCCGAATAAGGCCCCCCCCGGGGGGCTTCTCTCAGGCCGGTAGTGGGACTGGCTGTCTTCTGCTACTTCTTCCAGTTCTGCTCCTGCTGCGTCATCGTAGGTTTGCAGTTTACAGATACACACCTGAACAGCATACTCAAGATGGCGACAGCACAGACATTTTGATGTAATAATTCAGAGCAAGAGGTATCAGTTATCAGACACTGTTAAATAAACAAAATATCGCAAGAGTGCTAGTGTTTTAAGCATGTTTTTATTTTAAGTTTAAAAAAAACTTCGTGTTTGTGTTCTTTATAAAGTTTATATCTCCGCTACCTGGCATTACATTTTATGACACACATGGCCCGGCCCAACAAGGTTTCATTTATGTCAGATCTGGCCCTCATAACAAATGAGTTCGACACCCCTGCACTATACCCTTTGATGCAGGATTGTCTTCGAAATGGGCTTAATATTATGTACTGTCCAGGTTATAGCAGAGAGGCCAGCAGCAGCAACACATTAAGAAAAAGAGGTGCATCTCTAGTGACTTACCAGTCTAGTGTGTCCTATCGTCAGGATGAAATCAAAGAATGGTTCCAATCCGGCCTGCTGGGCGGGAGAGTTTTCCTGAATCTGCAAAATGGCAATATTTACACGCTATACAAATTGACTAAAATGATCATAGGGGTTGGTGTGTTCTACAGTAAACTTAACAGGATCCGTACCCCATGCATTCTTAGGAGTCAACACCAAAGGCAACTGCTGGAAGAGGCTGTTCTGGCCTAAGGCCAATACCCCGATCCTGACAAACAAAATGAGATCTATCTCCCGGACGGTATCCCTCTCCTCTCCCATTCAGGTTTAATCCCTGGCTTCCCCAGTTAAAAAGAGCAGGGAGCAGGTGATGTGAAAAGACCTGACCGAGGCTCCCTCTAAGCTGTGCAGTCTTGTGAGCAAAAACACCACTTTGTGAGCTACTGGCATTAAAGTGGTGAGCGGGCGATTTGGCTACTGCATAAATTAGTTTGCTCTGAAGCCATCCTTCCTGAGCTAAGGCAAAAATGTGTGAGCTGGAGGCCAAAAAACCGTAACGCAGCTTAGAAGGAAACACTGCCTGAGACCCTGAAGAATAACTTTTGTTCAGAAAGACTATACAGAGCTAGACAGGCCAATGGTTTGGACTTGGTAGAAGGCCTGTAGAAAACACACTGATCCCCAGAGTGAGTAAATTGAGCATAAGGTGCGTGCTGAAGTGTTAAGCTGAAACACCCAGAGACGCGGCTTACAAAGCACCAGCTACCAAATACCGATCCACACCTGCCTCTGTCTTGGATCAGCTTTGAAGAACTGTAGGCAATGTAGGAGCCGCCAGGTGGGAGGACCTGTCCCTTGACAGTCACAAGAAAACAACAGAAATCCTTTCAGGTGCCAAAGTGGACAGGCAATAAGGCACAGCCTTTCATAGAGGTCCCACAAACCTACGACGACAGCAGCAGCAGCAGCTAGGATTCCTGCCTCTTATCCCGGTTTCTACTTTCTAGCATCCTTGATCGCCTTCCACTGGTACCAGCAGTTTCCCATCCCGGTACTGATCAGGCTAATACCCACTTAAGCTTTAACAATGCAAACAGCATTATTCATGTTCCCTGAAGCCATTCGCTGGGTAAGGAAAGTCAGCATTTACTGAAAGATTTAGGCATACCGATGGGTTATGAAAGGAACGCACAGCTGTCCGTATGTTTGCCGTGAAGTGCGGCATGTTCCACTCCACCCCAAATTCCATTAGGAGAATCATGCAAGGCTAATCCAGACGCATTCTGGCTACGTAATTTATTCTACTCCAAAGACTCTGGTTATGAAAGAAACCGGGATGGCACAGAAGCAGGGCTTAGGCAGACAACACGCTCAGTGGCATCATGAAAAGGAGGGAAAGAAACTACGCGAGAAGTGCCGGGGGCTTGGCAGAGAAACTGCATTCTATCCCATGACCAGTGGCAGGTCTTTCCTGTCCTCAGCAAACATCTGAGCTCTTTAACACCCATCCTACAATTTCAAGTGTTTTCTTCACAACCACAAGGGACAGGGACTTGGTCCTTAAAAGTTTATATCCCACAGATGATCGATTCTGTTCTGCTGTCAGGTTTCCAACCAACAGAAGCCATGCAGTCTTAGAAAGCCATTTTCTGCAGAGTGCATTTTAAAAGCAGGCACGAAACACAAACTCAGGTCTACTATCCTGGTTTACGGCTTCTGCATAACAGAAGAATCCAGGATAAAAATATTTGAAACGTGGTCCATCCATACCTGAACTGGAACTAAACTAACAAAGGGGCGACTCCTATCAGAGAGTACACCAGCAACTTCCGGCCGGCACGGCGCGGTGACGGGCAGGCTTCGGATCGTTCCGAGACGCCCGATTCCTTTCCGCTCCATTTGGGGCTCCCCGGGTCTCAGGAGCACCCAGCCAGCTCTCCCGGAGAGAGAGCTGGAGCAGGGGGCTTTGTCGTGGCCCTTCCCGTGACTGGCAACGTGGGGGGGTGTCCACTTCTTGCCCTGAAGGAGGAGCGGTTCGAGAAGAGGAGCATGGCCGCCATGTTCCTCATAGCCTTCTCCTCCCGTTTTTACCTATATTCAAATGCGTTCAGATTATAACAGCAGCAACAAAGCAATATAGAAGGAAATACAGAATAAATTGTTAGTACATGCAGCTTTAAGTATAAAGAAGAGAAGGTGGTTAGCAAAATACCCTGAACGAATGGCCATAAATGGGAAAATAAAGCGGCCAGAAAAGCGAGAGGGAAGGAGTGGAGTGTTTGTTTTCTTGGGGTAATAATGACTGTTCTCTTCGAGACATTTAAATTCTTGTTCCTCTCTCTCATCTGCTCAATAACTGATACTGAAGGAATATGTAACTTCAATTTCAACTGAGTGATATTTAATTTGAATTTTGAATGACTTAGTGTGTATAAAGTGAATAAAATGGCATTTGCAAGGGAAACCGACATGGAGGAGGAAATAGACGAAAATACCTTAGTGGGAGATATGTCGGTGGAACAATTCTTAAGGATTTTGAAGGAGGGAATACAAAAGGGCATTGAACAAGCATTTGCAAGTTTCCATGATTCCCAATTGGAGATAGAGAGTAGTGAAAAACCGGAACAATATGGGCAGTGTTTTGTAGAGATCTCTACGTGCCAGCATGAAAAGGAAAGTATAGAGACATCATACTTATTGACTCAAAGACGAAATAAGAAGACAACCAAAGTGAGTTATTTGAAGAGGGAGGCAATAAAAAGAAAAGTACAAAGACTTTTTCCCAAAAGGAAGAAAAATTGGGAAAGAAAGATTTGTTTGGAAGGTTAAAAAGAACAATATAAGACGGAGGCATGAATTTTTGAGGGCTACTGAGAAGAGATTGAAAATGAACTACCACCCTTGTAAGGGGAGAAATCATATAGACATGTTGCTACGGAAGAAGAGGCTTCAGAGTCATAGAAGACAATTTAAAGTATATGAAAGTGTTTATGTTTTTTAGTTTGTTTCTTTCCTCCTTTGAAAATTTATAAAATGGAATGAACTGATATGATTAAGGAGTTGGTGTTTGTAAAATGGAATGAATTGATATGATTAGAAGGTTGTTAATATATGGATTATAGCCCCAAGTGTGAGTGATAAATTAGTCAAGTTGTAGGGAAGAGGATTGAGGTAATATCTTAAAGGGGGAAAGGAGAAGGTAGTAACAATGTATATGTGATTTCTCCTTTTTTCTCTTCCTTTTTTCCTTTTTTTTTGAGGGTGAATAAAATTGAAATGAAATTGTTCTGATTAATTTAAATGTGTAGGAAATTTTGTGGGGTTTTTTTCTTTTCTTCTTTCTCTTGTTTTTTTCTTCCAAAAATGTACAACCTGGAATAAAAGGGTGGTGGTAAATAAGTAGATAGAGGGTTCTGGAAGGTAACTAAGAGATATGAAAGTGGGTCAAGTTAATATTAAATAAATTTTGGAATGGATAATAAGATTGGTGATGTTAAATTTTGGGGATTGTAATGTTTGTTATATATCAATGTATGGAAATACTTAAGAAATGATGGGAGAATTGGAAGGTTATAGTATTTTGTTAAACTAAAAACTTATAAAAGATGTTATATTAATTTTGCAAAAAGACAATCCTGGCTTGAGCAGTTGGGGGGTAAACAATGAAAATATGAAAATAACAATAAAAACTAAAAAACCATGCATACAAATAAAATAAAAAAATATAAAAATTTAAAATTTATTATTTACGTAGAAATATGGAAGTTGATGGATACTGGAACAAATAGGAAACTTTCTAATATCGTGTGTTGAGAGAGTAAGGTTGATTACGAGGGACGGTCGGTTTAATGTTTATAGAGATTATAGATTCAATTGTTTATCAATGGATGTATGTACTTGATAATTGCTTATTTAGTGAATTATATGAAGAAAAAAGTATTTATATTTGTCTGTGCTGTTGCTGTTCAGAATATGTTACTAGTAGTATAGGATGTTAATGGGATGGAATATTTAATTATGAGTTACTATTGATATGTGCATTATTGTGAAAATCCAGTAAAAATACATTTTAAAAAGAGAGAGAGTACACCAGCAACTAAAGCCCAAAATCATTTACTATTATTAGTCAGGAAAGCATTAATTAGTAAATCCTAACTCCTGTTCTGTGAAATTCTAGAGCACATAGTTGGGTTTTCAAATTTTGGCATTCACTTATCAAACCATGCATCAAATTTGCTTCTTGTATATTTGTAGTTTCTCACTATGGACTGCTGCTGGAAAGCAAAGTTAATAATATCAGTAAGTTTGCCATAGAAGAGATTGGATTTATACTGCGCCCTCCACTCGGAGTTTCAGAGCAGCTTACAATCTCCTTCCCTTCATCTCCCCACAACAGACACCATGTGAAGTAAGTGGGGCTGAGAGAGCTCTTTCGAAGACGGCTCTTGAGAGAACTGTGACTGAGCCAAGGTCTCGCCAACAGCTGCATGTGTAGGAGTGGGGAATCAAACCCGGTTCTCCCAGATTAGAGTCCGCACTCCTAAACACTACACCAAACTGGCTTTCATAGGAGCAGAGATCCTCAGACACATGTTAAGCATTGGTTATTTGTTGATTTGGCTCAATGAACATCTTGGAATTAAGTAACAGTGATACCGTTGTCCGCTCGTTGGGTCCACCTAGTTCTTTTATTAAAAATACAGAAAAGCCACATAGTAAAAACCAAATTAAAACTTTTTCAACAGAAGAAGAAGAGATTGGATTTATACCCCGCCCTTCACTTGGGAGTCTCAGAGCGGCTTACAAACTCCTTTCTCTTCCCCTCCCCACAACAGACACCCTGTGAGGCGGGTGGGGCTGAGAGAGCTCTGACACAAACTGCTCTTTTTCGAGAACAGCTCTTATCAGAACTAGGGCTTGCCCAAGGTCATCCAGCCAGGTGCAAGTGGAGGAGTGGGGAATCAAACCCGATTCTCCCAGATTAGAGTCCGCGCACTAAACCACTACACCAAACAGGAGACATGAAGGGGGGGAAAAACATCAAATGCCAGGACAAATAAGAACAACCTGACCTCATGCCTGAAACTAAGAAAAGCACATCCCAAGCCTTTGCTGTTCTCACCCACAGGTACACCCTGGACACCTGACAGAGGAGGAAGGTGAGGCATGCAGTGTAGTAAGTGCACCTCCCTACTCTGTTTCATATCTGCTTTCACACACGAAGCAGAACAAGGGGATTAACCCCCACCCCACAAAACATATTCCAAATTTTAAGGCCCAGTATCACTGTAGAACATTCAAATATGGAGGATGAAGCTGAGTAACATGTTTGAATGTTCAGAAGAACAATATCCAATATTTAGGAGCCTTGGACTTTTCTTTAGAACGTCATTTTCAGAAGGTAGATCAAGATTCGAATCTGGTAGCACCCCAGAGACCAAGAAGCTTTCATGGGTATAAGCTTTCAAAGCTGACAAAGGGCGCTTTGATCCATGAAGGCTGATACTCATAAAACCTTGTTGGTCTCTAAGGTGATACTAGACTCAAATCTAGAACATGTCTTCCTGGTTCAGATCAAAAGCCCATCTTGTTTATTTGGTTACATTTATACCCACATGTTTCTTCGTTTCTTGAACTCCAAGTGACTTACAAGGAATTCCCTGGAGCTCTCCCACCAAGGCAGATCCCCAGACGTGCTTAATTTCCATGAGGGTTAGTCTCTAAGCTGCTTTTCAACCATATTGGCCAGGGATCCTAAAGGTTTTATGACTTTCTCTAGGCACAGAGCAGGGGGTCACTGGAGGAATGGGGTGGGGAATTGTGAATTTCCTGCATTGTACAGGGGTTGGACTAGAAGACCCTTAAAGAGCCCTTCCAGCTCTTTGTTTCTACGTTTCATGTCTTTGGGGACCAAAAAGGGTCAACCAGGTGCCTCTGAGAAACTGACTCACAAGCGGAAGATGGCCGGCCCCAGCAGTTTGTAGCCAAAAATATTCTCTTCGTTCCTCCCCCTCCACCTTTCCCAAAAATATTAACACCCCCCCCCCGTGCTCCTCTGCCGAAGATGCAACACAACTGGTGGTCTCAGAATGGCACCTGCTTCTTCCCAGGGCCAACAAGATCAGCAGAGAAGGAGCCATTGGCTGCTGTGTCTGGCAAGCAAAGGAAGGATCACAGTGTGATAGCAAAACTCTAAATTATAAGAAACACTGTAATAAGATGCTAAACAATAAGTTGCATGATGAGATTTCCATTAATTACAATAGGTGTATTGCAATAGATTGCGAAACAGTTAAGTTTTATAAATTATAATATAACTATATATTATAATTATAAATTGAATTATAAAATAGCTCAACAAGAGGGTAAATCCTGACTATGGAAACTTCAAAATGGATCATCAACCAGTGAACAACAACATGTCTACGTCAAGGAAGAGCCCTCCATTGAGGAAGAATCATCAAGAAGGCATCACACGAGGATCTCTCGGGTTCAGGTCCCCTCGTTTCGATAAACGTCTTCAGCCAGACCGACAATTATTTTACCAAAATGTAAAAACGATTCTCCCAAATGCGTCATTAAAGATTGGCATTCGTCCCGCTCAACAGCTACGTCTATGGCAGAATTTGTTTACGGAGGGACCACTCAAAATATCTCAGTATAGAAATCCATCAAAACTCTCTACGGTTGGGATAGCCTCCTATCGCTTCTCGACTGTGTCTGACGGGCTGTCGGGTCAGACAGACTGCTCCCGTCCCTGGAGGCTCCACCTGGGCAAGCAAGCGACAGCCTTCCAGATTCCTACCCACTCTCTCCCCGGCCCTTACCCCGTGCACATGATAGCCCTCGGAGCCCCCGTCAGAAGCCTCGGAGCTGGAGCCCAGCCCCATGGCCGCAGACCGGAGCGGGGAGAAGGGCGGCAGCCTCAGGAGCACCGGCCCGCCGTCTCCATCCTCCGAATCCCCCCTCAGCCGACTTCGCCTTCCTCCTGCCAAGCTCCAACGTTGCAGTACCGACTGAGCGTGCGCGCACGGCCACACTCCATTGGCGGGCAGAAGCCGAGGCGTGACGCCGCTCGGCGCGTGAGGCCGCGGAGAGTGGCGGTTGCTCGGCAACGGAAGGGAAGCGAGCGAGGTCCCTTCCGCGGGCGGGCTGCCAGTACGACGGAAGGCGGGATCAAGTTGGCCGCTCAGCCAACGGGGAAGGAGGGGGGCGTGGCCTTGGGATGTCGGCCGAGGATTGGGTAGCCGGGGTGTGGCTCCGGAGGCGAGCTTGCGTGTGCTTTGGCCGTTAGGCGGTTGGCCGTTTGAACACCGCCCTCTGTCCCCCCCACTCCCAAGCCGCGGTGTAGATTCAGGAGCCCCATGGCAGACGCCGACCCTCAGATTTTGGTACTTTGGGCAACTGTTTATTTTTCTGGTGGTTTTTTTTTTTTGGGACGGTGTTTACCTGACAGACACTACAGGTAGCCCAGGCAGAGTTACCAACCTCCAGGTGGGGCCTGGAGATCTCCCGGAATTACAGATGATCTCCAGGCGACGGGGAGATCATCTTTGGAGGGTGAACTCTATGACATTATACCCCTTGGAGATCTCTCGCCTTCTAGAGTTGCCAACCGCCAGGTGTGCAAGCCACAAAGAGAGATCAGGGGAAGGAAGGTAGAAATGAGCAGAAACAACCGTGGTATATAGGGTTGCCAGCCTCCAGGTGGGACCTGGGGATCTCCCGCTTTTACAACTGATCTCCAGCTGACAGAGATCAGCTCCCCTGGAGGAAATGGTTGCTTTGAAGGGTGGACGCCATAGCATTGTACTATGTGTTTCCCCGAAAATAAGACACTGTCTTATATTTATTTTTTCTCAAGAAGATACACTAGGGCTTATACCACAAATGCATAGAAATCCTGCTAGGGCTTATTTTGGGGGTAGGTCTTATTTTCGGGGAAACAGGGTATGCTGAGGCCCCTCCCCTCCCCAAACCCCGCCCTCTCCTGGCTCCACCCCCAAAGTCTCCAGGTATTTTCCAACCCAGACCTGGCAACCCTAGTGGTATATTATGCCAAAAGAAAAATACACAGTTTTTATCCACTATTCAGTTTATTGTAGAAAGTCAATTTCTCAGAAATCATTCATAATGACGCCATCAAGGAGTGGGGAATCAAATCTGGTTCTCTCAGGTTAGAGGCTGATCTACCTAGCCTGGAGATGAGCTGTAATTCTGGGGGGTCCCCAGGTCCCACTTGGAGGCTATCCACTTTCTAAAAACACTTGGCGGGCTACAGGAAAGGGCACCATGTCGGGGACTCCTGTGCTATAGGGTCTGCTTGAAAAAGTGGCAGCCTTCCTAGTTACAGTAAGCTGTGTGTCAACTGAACTGAACAGAAATGAGCGTTTTCTTCTTGTCTCACCCTGCCCAGGCGAAGATTGTCTACTATGCTCAAGAAAAATACTTCAACCACATTGTTCACTTGACAAATATCGAATTGTCGAAGCACACTTATGACCCAGTGTTGCTGTTCTTCAAGGCGATTGGAACCTTATTCCTTGGTAAACAGTAGAAAGAAATGGCCTTTGTTATACATCTTTTGGACATGAACTGTAGAATGCTGCCCTGTATAGACTGTGTCCTCTCCACCCTGCCTATAACTTGAAGTGCATAGGCCTAAAATCTAAAAACAGCAAAGCAACATTAAATCCCCAATATTAGACTGTTTCCAGTTTCTGGCTGTATTGAGCAGTTTTTGGAAACATGAGAACTAAGGAAACATGAGAACTAACGAATATTAAATCTAAAAGTATCAAACACTGGGAGGCACTACCAACATTTTGTACTAGAAACCTGGTTTCTGATAGCTATCTGTTATGTATTGGGATTGAATCATCCCTGACTGAATCACCCAAAAGACTGGCTGAGCTTGAAGCATGAGAACAATAGCCGACCAGGACTCTGGGACAAACCAATCAAGTAGTAAGAAAGGTAAAGGTTCCCTTGCTCGAAAGCCAGTTGAGTTTTGCGGTGCTCATCTCCGTTTCCAAGCCGAAGAGCCAGTGCTGTCCGAAGACGTTTCCGTGGTCATGTGGCATGACTTAAACACCAAGGCGCACGGAACGCTGTTACCTTCCCACCGAAGTGGTACCTATTTCTTGCTTTCAAACTGCTAGGCTGGTAGGAGCTGGAACTAGAGACTGGAGCTCACCCCGTCATGCGGCACCCGGGTCTCGAACTGCTGAACTACTGACCTTCCACAGCCTGAGTGTGGCAATTGCATGCTATTTAACAGAGCTGAGGCTCTGGAGTCTTGTAGTTTTGCTGAAATCACGGAATAAACCAGAGCTGATCACTGCAATGCATCTAGAACTCAGTATTTAACACAATCCCTGCTGCGATATAGACTCCAATTCTTGGCTTGTATCCTCAGCTCCTTTCTGTGAATGAAAGGGGGACGATTCCCTCTCCCTCTGCAGGACTCAAACTTCCTCCGTTGGTCTTCCTAGGGAGCCCCCGTCCCTCAGGAGCAGCATTTGAAGGGGATATTTGGGGTTGCAGACAGAGGGGAAGATGGGGAAGTTTCGTTCTGCTGGCAGAAATAACTTGGTTCAGTGTAAATTGCCAGTGGATCCAAGCCAGTATGCAGAAGTGACAGATGAAGGTCAGCAGGTGACTCGCAATGTTCCCTCTAAACTGTGGAGTCTTGTGAGCAAAAATTCTACTGTGTGAGCTACTGGCATTCAAGTTGTGAGTGAACGATTTGACTACTGCATAAATTAGTTTGCGCTGAAGCCATCCTCCCTGAGCTGAGACAAAAACGTGAGCCAGAGGCTAAAAAAACTGTGAGTTAGCTCACACTAACTCAGCTTAGAGGGAACACTGCTCAGAGGTATTTTTGGCAGCGTCTCAGCATTTCCTGTTAAAGTGCAAAGGTGGCATAAATCCAAAACTCTGCTGTGGGGCTAATTATGCAGGATGAAGCCCCAGAGGGTCGCGTGAGCATGGTGCCCGTCTTGAGTCTCTGCTTAGTTGGAGTCTGGACAGGAACAGACCAAGAGGCAGAGTGGAAGGTGGACCTAAAACTCAGAGTTTGTGGGACAGCCGCAACAGCTGTCCCACATCGCTTCCCTGACAATATAATCCGATCCATGTTTAATCAGAAGTGACCTTTACTGAGGCTCCAAGACTGCAGCCTTGGCGGCGTGCCTGTACACACCTGCCCAGCACGAACTCAGCGTGCCTTATTCCTGAGCAAACGTGTAAGCGCAAACGTTTTGCAGCAATGGATAACCTTCACTTGGGTAAAGGTCTTGTTTGCTTAGCAAACATAGTGCAGTAGCCAGTGGGTGCCTTTAACCAGGTCCAGGACCCTGGGTTACCAGCTCTGGGTTGGGAAATTCCTGGAGATGGGAGGGTGGAGCCTAGGGAGGGACCTTGGCAGGTTATAATATCATAGTGTCCAGTGTTCCCTCTAAGCTGAGTTAGTGTGAGCTAGCTCACAGTTTTTTAGCCTCCAGCTCACAGATTTTGGTCTTAGCTCAGGAAGGAGGGCTCCAGAACAAACTAATTTATGTAGTAGCCAAATCACTTGCTCACAATTTTAATGCCAGCAGCTCACAAAGTAGAATTTCTGCTCACAAGACTCCACAGCTTAGAGGGAACATTGGTGTCCACCCTCCAAAGCAACCATTTTTTCTCCAAAGGAACTGTGTCATCCAGTGATCAGTTGTCATTGCAGGAGGTCTCCAGGCCCCACCTGGAGGTTGGCAACCCTAAATTGCACCTGCAAACAGAGAGTTCGTTGTTTGGCTTCCATTGTCATTGCAGAGTTGGGGAAATCCGGAAGGTGGGCAACCAGAACCACTGCAGTTGGGCAGGGGCCGAGAGCAGAGCAAGAGCTCCGTGTGGAAGGAAGGCTGCCAGCTGCCTGGTGTTAACTAGACTGTCTGGGTTAACTGGCAACCTTACCAATCCCAGACAGCGTGAACCACGCTATTTGGGCACGGACGAGATGGCACTGTGCCCAAATGCCAAGCAGCACCCTTCGCCCTAATGCCAAGCAGCTCCCTTTGAGAGCCAGTTTGGAGTAGTGGTTAGGAGCGGGGACTCTAATCTGGGAGAACCGGGTTTGATTCCCCACTCCTCCACATGCAGCTGCTGGTGTGACCCTGGGTCAGTCATAAGTTCTTTCACAGCTGTTCTCTCAAGGGCAGTTCTGGAGAGAGCTCTCTCAGCCCCACCTACCTCACAGGGTGTCTGTTGTGGGGAGGGGAAGGGAAAGGAGATTGTAAGCCGCTCTGAGACTCTTTTGGGTAGTAAAGGGCGTGGCATAAATCCAATCTCTTCTGCTGCTGTTGCTGCTACTTTGCGGTTGAGGGGGGGTGCTCCTCCCAGTGCAAAGAGCATGTGTCACACTGTTTGCACTTGGGCTTGGTGTGTGTTTTTAGATCAATCTGGCAACCCTAGGTGGAAGCAGCCCTAAAGAGCCAGACAGATTGCTTGTATGCTTTGTTGTCTCACTTCTGACGATCTCACGCTGTAATACCAGTTCTACACTGGTTCTTGTTTTTATGCTGTTTAACAGAAGATTTCTTTTTACAACTGAGATAAAAATTGCTACTAATTTGCTACTTAAAAACTTTTCAGACCGTGTTGCTGAATTTTCTGTCCCCCCCCAGTGTTTCCTCTAAGCTGAGTTAGTGTGAGCTGGCTCATAGTTTTTAAGCCTCTGGCTCACACATTTTTATCTTAGCTCAGGAAGGATGGCTCCAGAACAAACTAATTTATGCAGTAGCCAAATGGCTCGCTCACAACTTTAGTGCCAGTAGCTCACAAAGTAAAACTCTTGCTCACAAGACTCCACAGCTTAGAGGGAACATTGGTTCCCCTCCCCCCGTCCCCCCCTGTGTTTAAGTAGAGAAAACTTGTCATATTTGTTCTGGGAGGGAAGTGCATGCTTCTGATTTGAAATACTGCAATTTTTCTTTGTACAAGAAAGGTGTATTATTATTATTATTATTATTATTTCCCTGAATGAAAGATGATAACATCATCTATCTTGACTTGAGCACAGTTCACTGAAGAGGCGGAGTCTAAGACATGACATAAGAGGAATCTAAAACATGACATACCACAAAAATGTAGAGCGTGTATAAAGGTAGAAGACAGTACAACAATAGCAAGATGATGCATACAATACCCAGACTACATACCCATTCCCTTATAAAAGCACCCTTCCCCTTTCTGCACTATAGATAGAAACACTGAATAGGCATGGTGTGGTTACATGGAGAAGAAGAAGAAGAAGAAGAAGAAGAAGAAGAAGAAGAAGAAGAAGAAGAAGAAGAAGAAGAAGAAGAAGAAGAAGAAGAAGAAGAAGAAGAAGAAGAAGAGGAGATTGGATTTATACCCCGCCATTCACTACCCAAGGGAGTCTCAGAGGGGCTTACAAACTCCTTTCCCTTCCCCTCCCCACAACAGACACCCTGTGAGGTAGGTGGGGTTGAGAGAGCTCTGATAGAAACTGCTGTTTTTCAAGGACAGCTGTGCCAGAACTATGGCTTGTCCAAGGTTATCCAGCAGCTGCAAGTGGAGGAGTGGGGAATCAAAAGATGTAAGGTCTCGTCTGATGAAACCTTGAGTGAAATGATCCATTGAGCGCTGTAGCATCAGAAAGAAAAACTTGAGATCAGTTTACTTAAAAGAAAACACCTTTAATGATTTTTTATTCACTGGATAATTAAAGAAGATATATATTTTTCTCTAACAAGGTTTCGTTATCATATCACAGTTGTTTTTCCTTACAAAGTCCCACCTGGAAGTTGGCAACCAATCAGATCTCACACCTGGCTGGTAGAAAACAATGACTGGCTACCAAGCCCAGCCAATAAGCAGTGTGGACCACTACTCATTGGCGACTGCAAAAAGCTAATCAATTATGTGATGTTACATTTTTACAGGCCGGATCCAAGAAAGCATCTCTCTACTAGACAATGCCCAGAAACGCCACATAGATGTGTCATTAGGCTGCGTCCTGGGCCTCATTCATGCACACCAAAAATGTGAAATTGTTGGTGAGTTATTCAGTTATTAGTAGAGATGTAAACTTTTCAGATTTAAAGCTGTAGAGAAAAAACTTTTTGTGTCTTCCCCCCCCCCCACACCAAAAAAATTGACATCTGGGGGAAAATCAAAATGCATGCAATAAATACTTCCCTATCAGACCTGAATTTGTTTTATTTCTTTAAGAACATAAAATGCATAATTTATAATTTAGTTAGCATATAGCACTGTATTCCTTAATGCTACTTAACATTAGTTGTATTGATATTTATTGAATTTAACAATGTAGATATCTTCGTTTTCTGCAGGTAAGATGGCAAAATACAACACTCTGTGTCACACAGTGGCCACCACACGTGGCTGGTAGAAAATGATGACTGGCTACCAAGCCCAGCCAATAAGTAGTGTGGACCACTGCTCATTGGCGACTGCAAAAAGCTAACCAATCAATTATGTGATGTTACATTTTTACAGGCCGGATCCAAGAAAGCATCTCTCTACTAGACAATGCCCAGAAACGCCACATAGATGTGTCATTAGGCTGCGTCCTGGGCCTCATTCATGCACACCAAAAATGTGAAATTGTTGGTGAGTTATTCAGTTATTAGTAGAGATGTAAACTTTTCAGATTTAAAGCTGTAGAGAAAAAACTTTTTGTGTCTTCCCCCCCCCCCACACCAAAAAAATTGACATCTGGGGGAAAATCAAAATGCATGCAATAAATACTTCCCTATCAGACCTGAATTTGTTTTATTTCTTTAAGAACATAAAATGCATAATTTATAATTTAGTTAGCATATAGCACTGTATTCCTTAATGCTACTTAACATTAGTTGTATTGATATTTATTGAATTTAACAATGTAGATATCTTCGTTTTCTGCAGGTAAGATGGCAAAATACAACACTCTGTGTCACACAGTGGCCAGAAACCAGGTGCCATCAGGAGGTCCACCAGCGGGGCCAGAACTCCAGAAACACTCCCACTGTTGCCCCCCAAGCACCAAGAATACAGAGCATCACTGCCCCCAGACATAAGAACGTAAAAGAAGTGACCCCTGAAAAAGAAAGAAAAAAGTAGCAGAGAACCTACCTGGGGTTCATTTGTTGACAACCAAGCGACGGCATGCTGGGGGGGAGTGGGTAGAGCCACTCCGTTGTGGCTTCAGCATGTCAGAACAACTTCATCTGCAGCAGTCAGGCATTGTGGGAGCATCTGCCCAGCACTGCAGTGCTGCCTCTCCAGTCCACCTATGTGGGTTTTCCTCTGCCCCCCCCCCCCAGCCCATGGGGCCTTGCAGTGAGGATACACCATCTCAGAGCTTACCAGCTGCTGTCCTTTATACAGTTTCTATCTCTGGTACCTGGCATTACCTTTTATGGCACACATGGCCCGGCCCGACAAAGTGACATTTATGTCAGATCCGGCCCTCGTAACAAATGAGTTTGACACCTCTGATCTATGCCTTGCAGCTAATAGCCACTGATGGACCTCTGCTCCAGATATTTATCCATAAGACCATAAGAGAAGCCGTATTGGATCAGACCAATGGCCCATCCAGTCCAACACTGTGTCACACAGTGGCCAAAACCCAGGGGCCATCAGGAGGTCTACCTCTCCTCTGCCTTCGAGCTTCTGTTTGTAGAGCTCAAAAACACCCCTGGGAACTTCCTCGTTGGACTGACTTGTGAGATCCGTAAGTAAAGCTGGGGGCAGGGGAGGTAACGTACACTACCGTCTCTCCTCTCTGCTTTCAGATTCCTCTGCAGTGTTGGAGTTAGAGAGCAAATTACAGGACCTGCGGAAAACTGCAGGAAGCAATGGCTGGTATTACGCTGCGGTGTTTCTGTGGCTGATCAAGCAGAATGACAAGGCAAAGGAGTATATCGACAAAATGCTGCAAATATCGAACAGCGCAAGAGAGGTAGAGTCAATCCGGCTGTTCACATTTAGACACCCCCCACCTGAACTTTGAACTGTAATTTAAATACGCTCTGTGTCTCTGTAAGTAACAAGGGGCACGTAGGCCAACAGAGCACAGTCGCTGTGATCCAGCAAGGGTGTTAGGGTTGCCAGCCTCCAGGCGGTGGCTGGAGACCTCCTGGGATTACGACTGATCTCCAGGCGACAGGTCAGTTCCCCCAGAGAAAATGGCCACTTTGGAAGGTGGACTCTACAGCATTATACCCCACTGAAGTCCCTCCCCTCCCCAAACCCCACCCTCCTCAGGCTAAAGCCCCAAAATCTCTAGGTATCTCCCAACTCAGAGCTGGCAGCCCTAAAGATCCATAGGCAGACAGAACCTTCCATAAATGTTTCACTCTGGCCCCGGACACACGAGAGGTTTTGGGCCGGGAGAGGGACGGATCGGGGGCGGAGCAAACGGGCGCGATCCCACCGCAACATCTGGGAAGCATTCCGCACCCGTCCCCGATCCGGCCCTTCCGCCCAAAACGCCGCGGCAAAAATAAACCACCTACCGAGGTGGTTCTTCCGGCAAGTCCGCATCAAGGCCGGCTGTGGGATCGCCAGCGCGTCCTTCCGCCGGCGCATCCCCGGCTCCTGGCTGAACTGCACATGCTCAGAGATGCGCAGTTCGGCAGCCTCCCCCTCCCGACCGTGGCTTCCTCCCCGGCATCTGATCGTGCCGGGGATCTGTGGGATCCCGCCACGGCGTCTCTATTTTGGTGCGGCTCTGATTAGCCGCACTTTGCCCGGGTTTTGTTCTGCCGTGTGGCAGGGACCTCTGTAAGATCGGGACCCAACCTGCAAACAGGTTTGTGTGTGTTAGCCCTTAAGGGTGTGTGCACTGTGATTCTGGTGTGTTTATACCTCACCAAACAGATGGTCAGCATTGTAAATTCTGACAGTAGTAATCACCTGTTTGTTTATAGAAGGAGAGTGACTCCAGGCATCTCCTGTTACCCCTGCCTCTGCAACACCTGTTCAGTGCTGGCAAAACTGAGAATGCTGATCTGTTTGGTTGAGGAAGTACTCATGCCTAGAGAGAAAGTGTGTGCGCGCACGTGCACAGCCTTCTAAAGTGACACTGGTATATTGTTCTACATCACCTTTGCGTGGTTCCCTGCACAGTAAAAGACATGAGACCACTTGTTTCATTTCCTTAGTTTTTCTTCATGTCTTAACTCTTCTGCTCAGGATCCAATTTTACAGGCAGTTTTCTTAAAATATGCTTGTGTGTGTGTGTTAAATGTTGTCAAGTTGCTTCTGACTTATGGTGACCCTATGCAGGGGTCATTTTGTAGAAAAAGAGGTGCAGGAGCTCATTAGCATAACTTATTAGCATAACTCATTTGCATGGGTAACACCCCCTGACATCACCAGAAGTGTGTCCGAAGGCAACACCCACCGCTCAGGCTCTACTGGACTGTTTTGGATTGCTAGCTATTGGGGGTGGGGGAAATGTGCAGATCTGTCCTCGCAGAGGAGGGAGAGCTTGTACCTGAATAAAACGTGGACTTAAAGGTGCTACTGGACTGTTTTGGACCAGGGGGCCGGGGAGGGCTCTGCAGTTTACCTGGCTGCTTCTTGCTCTGACTGTTGCATGTGCCTGCCCCCTAGGGTCTTTACTGCCGGAGCTCTACTCCTGTGCGCTCCTGCAGGAAATGACCCCTGACCCTATGAATTAATGTCCTCAAAACATTCTGTCTTTAACAGTCTTGCAAAGTGAGGGCCGTGGCTTCCTGGATGGAGTCCCTCCATCTCATGTTGGGTCGTCCTCTTTTCCTAGCATTATTGTCTTTTCCGGTGACTCTGGTCTCCTCCAAATGTGACCAAAGTCCAATAGCCTCAGTTTCGTCATTTTAGCTTCTAGGGAGAGTTTAGGCTTGATTTGATCTAGATTTGATTATGGCTGGTAGACACTGAAAAACGTTTGCTCATTTTTTTTAAGCCTCATTAAAGTCATCTTTGAAGGAAAGGGTTCCACTGTTTGTTGTAAAAACAGAGTAGGGGAGATGTACTTACTAGGGTAGTAAGTCTCACATGCCTTAATGGGACTCACTTCTGAGTATTTGTGGTTAGGATTACACAGTACATCTTATTTTGTAACTTCAGCAACTTCCTTTTCAGTTGGAGATAAGTCCCTGTGAGTTCAGTGGGACTTCCCTCCAAGTAACTATGAAGGATGAATTCTCATATAATGAATTAGGTATCTATACAAAATTTAGTTTTCCCGCTCACTCTGTTTTTACAATGAACAGTGGAACCTTTCCTTCAAAGATGGCTTTTAATAAGGCTTATTAAAAAAAAATTGACCAAAGCCAGTTTAGTGTAGTGGTTAGGAGCACGGACTCTAATCTGGGAGAATCGGGTTTGATTCCCCACTCTTCCACATGCGGCTGCTGGTGTGACCTTGGGTCAGCCACAAGTTCTTTCAGAGGTGTTCTCTCACAAGCAGTTCTCTAAAGAGCTCTCTCAGCCCTACCTCCCTCACAGGGTGTCTGTTGTGGGGAGGGGAAGGGAAAGGAGATTGTAAGCCACTCTGAGACTCTTTTGGGTAGTGAAGGGCGGGGTATAAATCTAATCTCTTCTTCTCTTCTTATTACCCATAGCTAATAAAGAGTGTCACTCTTGGGCATCTGTAACTCTGGGAGTTGGGTCCAGGGCCCGTCATGTATTTTTCCTTCACTTTTCTAGGGAGAA